GGCACTAAAGAGCTGATTTGAGTGTGGGCTCTGTTTATTGTATAATTTTCACTCTTCTCTGTGGATGTTTCAAGCCCATGCCTCCGTGACTCATGCCACTGTCTAGTGCTGTGGAACTGCTTAGGCCTATCAAACCTGCCTCGCAATCAAGATTTCTTTCTTTGCTTCAACTTAAGAATTCTCTTCAGCAAATATCTGAATTGAAACTCCTTCTAATATTTCTGAGAGATAATGGTCTTTTGTTCCACTTGGGGTTTGCTGAACTTCTGGCATCTGAGAGGTCAATGTCTTTTATCAGTTTTAGAAAATTCTTGAGGCTTGTCTCCTCAAATACTGCTCATCTCTCTTCCAGGGACTGTAATTAATCATTTATTAGACATTTTTTACTGTGTTTCTGAGGTCTGTTATGTTCTTTTCCTTTTTCTCCGTCCTTCGGTTTGGATATTTTCTGTAGACCTGTCTTCCAGTTCATGAATCCTGACTTCTGCTGTACTCAAACTGCTATTAAGCACACCCAAAGAGTTCTTATTTCCGGTTATTGAAATCTTTGGTTTTAGAATATTTGTCCAGTTTTTTTTACAGAGTCCATTTCTATACTGAAGTAAATTACCCATCTTTCATCTTTGTCCATCCTTTCTTCTATTTTCTTAAAACTATTAATTATAGTGATTTAAAGTCCTGGCCAATTCTAACATCTAGATCTGTTTCTATTAACATTTTTCTCTTTGTGTTTAGTCATTTGGATTTGATCTTTTGCATGGCTCATAATTATTTTATATTGGATCCCAGACATTGTATAAGAAAAAATTGTAGACTCTGGATAATGTTATCTACCCCCAAAGAGTTTTCACTTTCTACTTCTGGAAAGCAGAAAGAATAGTGGCAGATAACTTTGATTTTGTAAGGCTTGATTTTATGCTTTGTTAGGTCTGTTTTATTTCAGTATTATATTGCCCTTACTCCAAGGATGTGCTGAGATCTCAACTGAAAGCCCTGGGTATCTATGTATCTTATCAAGGCTTCAAGTCTACCTTCTGTTAAATGCTGAACTCTTCACTTACCTCATTAAACTCTAAACTGCTGTTTTCAGATTTTTATTTTTATCTTTTTTGGCATTTTGCTTTGTGCATGCTGGGTATAGGAACTTAGGTCACTAACATGACAGCAATTTCCATAGCTTATTGAACTCCTTCTCTGTAATTCTCCCCTCTTGGAGTTTGCTCTCAATTGGAGGCACTTTGGTGTTCCTCAACTTTGGCCTTTGATATGATTAGGCTTTGTGTTCCCACCCAAATCTTATGTTGAATTGTAATTCCTACCGTTGGGGGAGGGACCTGGTATTAGGTGATTGGATCATGGGAGTGGATTTCCTCCATGCTGTTCTCATAATAGTGAGAGTGAGTTCTCATGAGATCTGACGGCTTAAAAGTGTGTGGCAGTTCCCCCCTTGCTCTCTCTCTTTCCTGCTCTGCCATGGTAAAATGTGCTTGCTTCCCCTTCAACTTGCACCATGCTTGTAAGTTTCCTGAGGCCTCCCAGTCATACCTCCAGTTAAACCTGAAGAACTGTGAGTCAGTTAAATCTCTTCATAAATTATCCAGTCTCAGGTAGTTATTTATGGTAGTATGAGAACAAACTAATACAGCCTTTTATTCCTCAGCCCAGAAAAACTGCTGTATTTTTTTTTTTTTGCTTTTATTATCTTGCACTTAGGTTTGAGCAGTCCCTCAAGAGAAATATTCCAGGGTGAACACTGAGTTCACCTCATGTGTCTTCTCTCCAGGATCATAACTTTAAGTTCTACCTGCTTTAGTTACTCTTCAATGCCTCCAAAGAATTATAGATATAGATATATAGATACTCCTAGGCTTATGATGGAGTTATATCTCAGTAAACATATTCTAAGTTGAAAATATTGAAAATAAGCCTATTCTAAGTTGAAAATAAGTCAGAAATAAGTCTATTCTAAGTTGAAATAAGTCAGAAATAAGTCTATTCTAAGTTGAAGTAAGTCAGAAATAAGTCTATTCTAAGTTGAAAATAAGTCAGAAATAAGCCTATTATAAGTTGAAAATAAGTCAAAAATGCACTTAATACACCTAACCTACCACACATCATAGCTCAGCTTATCCTATTTTAAATGTGCTCAGAACACTTATGTTAGCTACAGTTGGGCAAAATTATTTAATGCAAAGCATATTTTATAATAAAGTATTGATTATGGAATTTGTTAAATACTGTACTAAAAATGAAAAATAGAGTGGTTGTATGGGTATTCAAAGTACAGTTCCTACTGAATATTTATCACTTTCACACCATCATAAAGTCAAAAAAATTTACATCAAACTCTTGTAAGTTGGGGACTATCTATATAGGTACACAGTCATGCATCACAGGGATACATCCTGAGAAATGCATCATTAGGCAATTTTGTTGTTAAATGAACATTCAGAATATATTTACACAAACCTAGATGGTGTGGCCTATTACACACCTAGCCTATTGCCGCTCAGGCACAAACCTGTACAGCATGGTACTGTACTAAATATTGTGGGTAATTTTAACCCAATGGTAGGTATTTGTATATCTAAACATGGAAAAGGTAGAGCAAAAATATGATATTATAATCTTATGTGACCACCAGTTGTATATGCATTCTGTCATTGATCAAAACTTTGTTATTCAGTGCATGACTATATAAATATATAAATATGTATATATATATATATAATATGTAAATATTTGTATATATTTTATTCCAGTTTTCCCCCTGAAGTGGGAGCTTTAGTTTGATATATACTACTCCATCTTGGCTGGAGTTGGAGGTCTCAGTACTTCATAGCTTTTGGGTTTGCAGTTACTTCACTGAACTGTTTATCTGCCACACTACAAAAGATGGCATATTCTCTTTAAGTGATGGAGCCCTATTCCTTTTAATCTATGCATTAGATAAAATCTGCTACATGTCTATGCACAAGACCAAAGTCTGAGTCTCTAAAATCTAAGGCTATAATCAAAACTAAGGAGTTTATAAATCTAGAGTCATATCATGGTGATTCCTCTTCAGCCTGCATTTGGGTAAACCGCATGAACCCAAGAGTGTAGCTCTACCATTCAGGGACATTGTGTATGGTTCTGCATGCTTCAGCGGGTCAGGTGATGTTTATATAGGTTAAATGGTGGAATGGGACCCTTTAGTGTAGTGCGATGTGTTGGCCTTGATGCTACAAGTTTGTTGTTGTCGTTGTTGTTAATATATCTGAATTCCTTTGTTGAGAGAAAAAACTAGGGCTAGGGGCAACTGATCTGGCATTGCCTACCTTTGCCTGACATGAAATTCACCAGGACCTCTGGGAGAATGCCTTTAGTTAAGCAATAGGATTAAAAGCCTGATAGCAGAAAATTAGGAGGTAAAGAATGATTGAGAAGTCAGAAAGTGTAGACATCAAATGAATACAATATATTTAAACAAACTGGATGTGAAGGGAAGTGAGAGATATGGTGACAGGTAGAGAGGGAAGGATTTCATTTTAGGGATGAAGAAATTTAAGCATGTTTGTGGGCTGGAGATGAAGCTAATGGAAAAAGGAGAGGAAGAAGATACAAAAATAAGAAGAGATAATTAAGAATTTTCTGGTAGAGGTGGTTAAAGAGCCCAGATAAGACAGATTGGACAAAGATAAGGAGAAGTAAAGATAAAGGTTAAGTTAGGACACTTAAAGAATGGGCCAGGCGCGGTGGCTCACTCCTGTAATCCCAGAATGTTGAGAGTCCAAGGTGGGTAGGTCACCTGAGGTCAACAGTTTGAGACCACCCTGGTCAACATGGCAAAACCCCATCTCTACTAAAAATGTGAAAATTGGCCAGGCATGGTGGCAAGTACCTGTAATCTCAGCTACTTGGGAGGTTGAGGCAGGAGAATCGCTTGAACCCAGGAGGCAGAGGTTGCAGTGAGCCGAGATCGTGCCACTGCACTCCAGACTAGGTGACAGAGTGAGACTCCCTCTCAAAAATAAATAAATAAATAAAATAAAAATAAAAGAAAGAATGATGAGATACCTGAAAATTCCATTTTCTGGAGTCAGCTGGAACTATGAAAGGTAAGACCATTAAAAAATATAGCAAAGAAGTAGAATTAATGACTGGATGAAATGATTGAGAGAGAAATAAGTCTGTGACAACTCCCAGGTTTGGGGATTGAGCAGTTGGGTAGATAGGGTGGGGTTAAAGCACAGAACTGAACAACAGATTTGGAAGGAAGGATGAGTTGGGATTAAATCAGTTTTGTTCACATTGAGTCAATTAACTCATAGCTTTTGCCTATGAATCTTGAGATCCACAGTGCCCAAGTACAAAGTTAAACCTTGCTCCCCCTCCCCTGCTGGCTTTACGCTATGTGCAATAGTGTTGCAGAAGCCTTTTGCTTTGCTGGATGCAAAAGCAAACTAGTCTCTGTTCTTCAAAGACATATGTAAGATATAAGAAATGAATTTTCAGAGTGAATATTTAATGGATAATTTATTTAACCTATAATCTTAAAAAAAAGGTTAAAACACTTTCTTGGTTTATGGTGGATACCAAGCTATATAGGCTTTGCTGTGAACTTCGTGCAATCGGACAGTCTCAACTGAAAGGAAAATTTAGGCTGCTCAGGAGAAAGTTTTTACAATTGAAAAACTAAAGGAAAAATTGAAAGGAAACTATTTTGGGAAAGAGAGAGAAATGGAGTGGAGGGAAAGGGGCTACTTGACAACCTGCAGTAGTGATTCTGGGGAACTAATAGAGGAAAAACTGGATAAATTTTAAAAGGATGACTGATGTGGGGCGTGGCAGGAGGATGAAATCGGGGAAAATATTGAGAGAGACAGAAAGAAAAAGAGAAACTTCTTTGAGGTTGGAAGTAGAGGGAAGGTAACATTGGAGCGGATAGAAAGGAAGAAACGGAGTGGGGTCTGGGAATGTGGCAGTGGGTGGAGAGAGAATGCGGAGACGACAGAGGATGAAGGGCAGCTGAGCATGTCTGCGGGAGAGGGACCAAAGGAATCTGGGCGGAGCAGGTGGCAGAGGCAGCCGCGGAGGAGGCCCGGGGAACTGACGGGGATGCTCAGCCGGGCCCAGAGGATGCGCCCCGGCACTCCCGGAAGGCTCTAGGGAAACAAGCAGGGACCGTAGCTAGGACGTGGGTGGCCAGGCCCAGGAAATCCATGAAGAGCACCTACAGGGGGTCCTGCTGCCGCCGCCGATGCGACGACGTTGGCTGCTGCTGTCGTTCCCGCCGGGCTCACCGCGCGCCTTACAGGTCCGGGGACGCGGCGCGAGCCCCTCCGCCTCCACGGCAGACCCCGAGCCGGGAAAGACGGCGCCCGGTGCCAGCTGGGAGCTGGGCAGCAGCGGCTGAGGAGGAAGAAGCAGCCGCAGCGGCCGCACCCTGGATGAGGTGAGAGCCTGGCCAGCTCCGGCGGCTGGAGTCCGGGGGGCTGAGGACCGCGATGGGGGTGGCCCCGCGCGGCGCGCTGGGCAGGAGGACCGCGCCCAGGGCTGGGCCCGGGGCTGGAGACCCGACGCCGGAGAGGGTTGGCGCCGACTGGCTGCTGCTTGGAGAAGGGTAGGGAAGGGGCAGTGTTGAAGGTGTGCCCCTGGAGAGGTTGAAGCTTGGGAAGCTCGGTCTCTAAGAGCCTTGCTTGAGGCGTAGGCACTGCTGTGTTGGTGGAGGTGAGATTGCAGGCTGCGTCTGTTAGGTTGGGCCGAAGGAGAGAGGAACACGGGACTCAGAAGGCTGTACCAGGATGGAAGCATCAGAGACCATCATGGAAGATGAGGGATCGGGAAGGGCGGCAGACGAAAGCACGCGCTGCCTTCTCTTACACCTCTTCTTTTTAGGGGTATTTCTCTTCGGTACAGATCGCAGGGTGGGGCTGGTGGCGATTCCTTCTTCCTAGGCTACCTCTCTTTCCCTGCAGAGCTGGAGTCATGCCTGATTGCTGGATGAGGCTGTGCACGACAAGCTACTAAATTCAATCCTTTCCTTTGCTTTGACCTGGAAGACCGAACAGATCAGGCTTAGTTTTCTTCATGCAGCAGCAGTAGGATAAAATTTGTCACACGTACGACTTTAGGAGAAGAGATTGACTGTGCTGCAGCCTTTTTAGAAATAAACATGTCTACATCACAGCATTTTTAGCTTTTTATTTCATGGGAAGGTAGCACTCATAAATCAAACTACTAGGCAATAGTGGTTCCGGTCTGAGCTAACTGGAGCCTATAAAAAGTTACTTTATTTCTCTAGGCCTCAGTTAGTTTCCTATGTATTAAAGTGGAATTTGGATTAAAAGAGCACTAAATATAAAACTAAATAATCATTGGATCTGTATTCTATGTTCAGGATAGCTATATTTGGGAACTATGAAATTTAGCGTATTCACCGACACTTAATTTTATTTTTTCATAACACTATCCACTGTTTATGTCAGAAAACATAGCGATGTTCAGTAAACAGTGCTTAAATTACATGTCTTCTAAGAAACCCATAATAGATTACTGCACCTAAGAAATAATTAAGCAAAAATTATTCAGTTTGATTTTTTATAAGGTGAAAATTTTATTACTTAATACAAATTACTTTTATAGGCATAATTGCTTTTTTAAAAATGTATATCTATGGGATGTTAATTATTTTATAAAATACTTCAAAATTTTATTTAAAGCTTGGAACAAAAAAATTAACCTGAATGTGTGTTTATAAGTCCAAGACTCCTTAATCACTTACATACACTGGGTGAATTCTTTTCACCTGGAAAGAAGCATTTATCCTGCAGAATTTAAAATAATGACTCCTTATCACAAAAGTATGATTTTTTTTCACTACCATTGGTTAAAAAAAGTTTGTAGGGTTAGAATTCGATCCTCTAAATTGTGGTTTAATTGTGAAAATAGACAGCAAACGTTCATGGTTTCCTTCATAGTTACTCATCTGACAAACCACATCTACGTTCATCTTTGTTGATGTAATGATAAGTCTTGAAATGTTTTCTAAACATTTCACAATTCCCAAATGAAACAGTTGCGGCAATTGACTGAGGTTAGTGCTACTTCACCCTTCATTTAAAAATCAGTTCCTCAGTTTAGCATACTTTAAAAAATATAGCAACTTTAGCTATAGTGTTAGAGGTTTAATGAGTGTTAGTATTACAGGTTATAGTTGGGGAGTGGTGTCTTTGGCATGATTCTCAATCAACTGAAAACCATAAGAAAGGAGCTCTGCACATTATTCAAATTCAATTTAGTTCAGTGTTATTTATTGAGCAATGAGGGTGGAGGCCAGCACAAACTGGATACAAAACTACCCTCAGATAGCTCAGAATCTATAGTTCTATAACATGCTTCAATAACTGGAGTATGGAATAAGTGCTATAGCAGAAAGGTGAGCTGTGGACCTCTCTCTCTCTCTGTGTGTGTGTGTCTGTCTGTCTGTCTCTCTCTCTCTAAGGAAAGCTGAGTTCCCCTAACAGACCACATAAGGTGGCATTATCTTGGAAAATATGTCAAAATCTTGTCTTTAACTTGTTAAGTCTGTTTCTTTTATTTTTTAGAGATGGAGTCTCACTGTGTTGCCTAGGCTGGAGTGCAGTGATTCTATCAATCATAGCTCCCTGCAGCCTCCAACTCCTGGGTTTAAGGGATCCTCTTGCCTTGGCCTCCCAAGTAGCTGAGACCACAGTTGTGCAGCACCATTTCTGGCTACTTTTAAAAAATTATTTTGTGCAAATACAGAGTCTTGCGATATTGCCCAGGCTGGTCTCAAACTCCTGACTTCAAGCAATCCTCCCATCCCACCCCACTCCACCCCACTCCTGAAGGGCTGAGACTATAGGAATGAGCCACTGCACCCAGCCAAGTCTGTTTGTTAAACTGATAAATCACAGGACTACTATATAAATGCAGAATAACAAATGATTAATTTATGATGACAATTTTAACATCTTAGATAACTAGATTCTCTTTTGTGATCGCAGCCAAGTATCTCTTGGTATATGTGCCATATTTGAGAGCCAAATGACAGCCAAAATGTTGTTTTTGAAACTTGCATCTAGAGCAAGAGGAATTAATTAGTGGATTCTAAATTTAAAATGATTTGATAGCTTCAAACAGAGCATCAAGGTGTACACAGGGGTTCTTTCTTTCCTGGACAGTAAGTGTCCCCTGATGATTCTCTTCCCTTCTTAGTATACCCTTTCTTTCTGCCTCTGATATGCTAATATTCTCAGTCAGGTTATAGTCTGGTTTGGAGATCCTTGTGACTGTTTCAAGTGTCTACATTTATTCTCTAGATCCATTTGTCTTCATTGTAAAGTTTAAATTCTAAGTGGCAAGCTTATTTTCTTTAAGAAAAAATTATAATGGGGGTAGGGAGGTGAGGCTGGGGGACCATATTACAGCCCCTACATGCTGGTCATATAAACCAGGTGGTCACTCACACCTCTATATGGTGCTAAAAGGCAGATGAGACCTGGCGAGGTGGCACACGCCTGTTAATCCTAGCACTTTGTGAGGCCAAGGTGAGTTAATTACTCGTGGTCAGGAGTTTGAGATCAGTCTGGTCAACATGGTGAAACTACGTTTCTACTGAAAATATAAAAAGTAAGCTGGTTGTGGGGGGTGGGGGGGGGCGCCAGTAATCCCAGCTACTCAGGAGGCTGAAACAGGAGGGTCACTTCAACCAGGGAGGCGGAGGTTGCAGTGAGCCAGATCATGCCACTGCACTCCAGCCTGGGTGACAGAGTGAGACTCCATCTAAAAATAAAATAAAATTAAAAAAAAATTAAAAAGGCAGACGATCAGAGAGGGCTTTACACAGGAGGTGAATTTTTGTCTGGCTTGACAAGATAACAAAGCCAGGTTGAGTGGGAAGCAAATTTGCCAGAAGGACACAAGCAAATTTATGAAGCTAGAAAGATGGCTTATTGAAGGGCATCCCATGCTGTCGTAAAATTTTCTGTGAGGATTTAATTCAAAGTCGATCCTTTTTCAAGTATGTAAGTATTTCAAAGGATAAATTAAGTGAATTGTCAGCTGTTGGCCATCTGCCTCAATGTGTGCTTTTGAAGCCCAGCAGATTACACATTCTATGCAGATGGTAGCCTGCAACCGGCAGACAACTGTCAGTGGACAATGACTTCAGAGAAGATTCAGTAAGTCTCTGATATGAAATTTCCACCACCGTAAGATGCTTGTCTAGTCATCTCTTTGTTGTTGCTGTTTTACAGCTTTATTGAGATATAACTGACATACAATAAACTGGGCAAATTTAAAGTGTGCAATTTGAAAAGTTTCAATCTATGTATATACCTGTGAAATCATCACCACAATCAAGATGATGAACTTAACCATCATCCCAAAAAGTTTCCCTCTACCCTTTTGTAATTCCTTCTTCCTGCCCCTCTGCTTTTGTCATTATATGTTACTTTGCATTTCCTAGAATTTCATATAAATGGAATGAAACAGTATCTACTCTTTGTTGTTTTCTGGCTTCTTTCATTCAGCATAATTATTTTGAAACTTATCTATGCTGTTGTGGGTATCAGTAGTTCATTTTTTTTTGTTGCTGAGTAATATTTCATTGTATGAATGTGCTACACTTTATTAATTTACCATTCATTGGGTTGTTTTGAGTTTTATGGCTATAACAAATAAAGCTGCTATAATTATTTGTGCACATGTCTGTCATTTATCTTGGGCACATTTCTCAGGGTATATAACACTAGCTTTTAAAGAAACTGCCAAATTGTTTTCCAAAGGGGCTGTACCTTTTATATTCCCACTGGCAATGTGTGAAGGTTCTCATTTCTCCATTGCCTTCCCAATACTTGTTACTGTACATCATTTTTATTATAGTCATTTTAGTGGGTGTGAAATGGTATCTTGTTATGGTTTTTTGATTTAAATATCCCTAATGATTAATGATATTGAGCTTTTTTTTCATGTGCTTGATTATTATCTACATTTTTTTGGTGAAGCGTCTGTTGAAATCTTGCCCATTTTCCATTGAGTTGTTCGGTTTCGTTGAGTTCATTGGGTTTGTTTCATATTCTAAATACGAGCTTTATTATATATGTTCTTTGCAAATATTTTCTCCCACTGTGCAGATTGTCTTTCCATTTTAGTAACACTGTCTTTTGAAGACCAGACATTTTAAAATTTGGCGACAGTAAACAAACATTGTCAATTTTTTCTTTCATGGTTTTGCTTTTAATGTCATATTTAATAAATCATTGCCTAATCCAGATTACAAAAATATTCTGTTCTTTCTAGAAGTTTTATAATTTTGCATTTTTATATTTAGGCCTGTGATCCATTTTGAGTTAACTTTTGTATATCAAGGTT